CGCGTGGCTGCAGACCGCACTCGCTAGATTTCAAAAGAGGATCAGAAGAAACCACCCTGTCCACTCGTACGTGGAAGAAAAGCCTCCTCCCACCGGTAAGTAGTTGTTTATTGGTGGTGGGCGAGCGAACCGCGATTCGTAAATTTGTTGGCAGGGCTCCTTTCAGGGGTTCTGACCCAGAGTGCCGCAATCGGCCTGTTCCGGCAGGGCCATTGACTGCACATATGCTATGTGCGTCTGACTTTAGAACTGATAATATTTCAGAGCTACTTACTTGGGTGGGTTACCCAACTTGACTCCAACACTCGTGGGGTCAGGAATCCCCTCCTCATATCGGCCAAATCTGAAATAAAAAAGTACGCTGGTTAAATTTTAATTAGGCATAATAAATAAATAAATAAATATCCTTGGATATTTAACACTGCGCTTCTAGTCCCAAACTAAGCAAAGCTTGTACTATGGGTACTAGAGAACGGATATAAACATACTTAAATACTTTTTTTTTGTAAATACATACTTACTATACATAGAAACACCCAGTCCAATACAAACAAAATATATGTTCATGCACACAAATGTTTGTACTGTGCGGGAATCGAACCCGCAACCTCCGGAATAGTAGTCCGTTTCGAACCACTACACCAAACGGCCGACAAATGCATGTATGCTATGTGCGTCTGACTTTAGAACTGAATAATATTTCAGAGTTACAAGACTTACTTGGGTGGGTCACCCAACTTGACTCGTAGACTCGTGGGGTCTGGAATCCCCTCCTCATGTCGGCCAAATCTGAAATAAAAAAAGTATAAGGATCGTTTTTCAAATTCAAATTCAAATTCAAATATTTATTTGCACAATTTTGGGTAAACATAGTGGTCTTAAAACTAGTATAAGTAGATCGCCAAAATTTGCTGTATAATTAGTCAGCGTACAAATATTTAAATAATTTCTACAAGAATAAATTACAAATATTATGTCATTTACTAAATGAAAATAATTAAATATGTCAGAAATATAAAAAATAGCTGACCCGGCGAACTTTGTTCCGCCTTAATGACAATAAATAAGCAGACTTTTTTTTTTATTTCGAACGGGATAAAAAGTAGAGATGAAACGGATATCCGGTAACTATCCGGTAGGCCGGATATCCGGCCTAAATTTACTATCCGGCCGGATACCGGATAGTAACTCACTATCCGGCCGGATACCGGATATTAAAAAACTACGACAAATTCCTATTAATAAAATGAAATACATTAATCTTTGAGGTAAAATATACAATATGTAACAAAAACACCGTCCGATCCGAAAGGGTCATAAAGTAGCTTTAACAACATTACCAAAACAAGTATCAAAATTACGTAATTAATAAAAACAATTTTTTTATCGATTTTTAAAGTCAATAAGTTTAGCAATGATTTACCCTACAACGGGGAAATTTTCAAAAAGCGTTAACACTGTCGGCGCGCGGCTTTTTTTAAGACGCTGGGGGTCATGACCTTATGACGTCGCTACGCGTGCCGGCGCATTTCTACCCCTCCCGCGTACCCTCTACACTGCAGTTCGGATTGCCATGTAAGCTATTTTATTTTTGTAAATTTTGTATTTATTTTTCATGGGGTATTTTTTTTATAATATTTTATGAAAATTATTACACAAATGGAATCTTAACTCGATACCTATTAACACCTTAATGGATCGGACGGTGTTTCCGTTACATATTGTATAGATAAAACAATGTCAAAACAATCAAAATAAATTAAATCAAACAATAAAATAATGCCATTAAAAGAATAATTAAAAATAAGTAATAAATGTCATTTTCGATTGAAATATTCATTCATAGTACCTATAAAACGTATTTTCTAATAACCATGCATGCAATCTGGTTTTATATAAAGGCCCTGCAAGTGTCCTAATTTCTTCGGGTAAAGCATTATATACTTTCACCGCCATTGAAAATGCATTCTTATTACTTAACGTTAGTCTACAGATATTACAGACAGACTACAGATATTATTTCATCACAGATATTACTGATATAACACAATATTCCCACTTATTTATAACCACAATATTCACGTTGATGAAGTCTTACCGGTTCAGGCAAATGTCACGTCAATAGCTCACTTATGACTAGTTGGTCAAGCTCCGCCAACTCCTCACCTGGAAACAAAAGAAAATATTGTAAGGAAACTTGAAACACAAAATGACTGAGTATGTGGTGTTCAAGAACACTTACAGCTAGAAGAGTGAAGAAGTAGGCGGAGAAGAGCTGGAAGTCACCTGCGAAAAAATATATTATTAAATAAAATTCATTTTGACTAACTCACTTTGATGAACATCAAAAGGGCGGTCTACTCACAGGTGCCTGCGCCGATGGAGCCGCTGGCCTCCATTGACTCCACATAACCTAAAACAGAAATTACATTCTTTAAAAAAAGTTCTTTCGTAACTAATTACACGAACGAAGCTGGGTTTTGTCAGCAACTTACTTTCAAAGCCGAGTGGCGCATCCATATGCTGTCGTCATGGATGCTTGCCTCTTCACCGAGGGGCGCCTGGAAAGATCAATAGCAGATTAAATACATTGAAATCAAAACGAAACAATCCAGCGCTGTGGAAGCTGAATCCGACACTCACGATGGAATAAATAGGAGGGTTGCTGACTGGCTCGGGCTGGTAGCGCTGTTCTAGGAACCGCAGCTGCCTCTCCTCCCGGTCCAAGGTCTCCCAATATGCGGCTAATATGGGCTCACAGTACTGAAATAAATTACATCGAAATAAATAAACGTTATTCTGGTTGAAGGGTTTGATAAGAAATACCAGGCCTCGTCGTTCAACTCCGCGAGTTTGCATCGAAAAAAAAACCCGTGCGACTTGTGAGCGCGTTTGATGTAAAAATGTATGTAAATTTTAGTTTTTGATAGTTTCCCGCTAGCGGCGCTGTACACTCCGTCATATATTTAATGTGTTAGCGCGTTTCAAAAAAACTCACACTCAGACTCAACCCTCAGCTCCTAAGATATTGATGCACGCACGTGTATTCTTTACCCATTTGCATTGTAAAGACAATAAACTACATAAGTAAACACGGTGGTATAATTAACATTCGTTCGTTTCAGCCAAATGACGTCCACTGCTGGACAAAGGCCTCCCCCAAGGTTTTCCACAATGAACGGTCCTGCGCTGCCCGCATCCAGGCTCTTCCCGCGACCTTCACCAGATCGTCGGTCCACCTAGTAGGAGGCCTGCCCACGCTGCGTTTTCCAGCCCGTGGTCGCCACTCGAGAACTTTCCTGCCCCAACGGCCATCGTCTCTACGAGCTATGTGCCCCGCCCACTGCCACTTGATTTTAGCAATTCTGCGAGCTATGTCGGTTACTTTGGTTCTCCTACGGATCTCCTCATCTCCTCTAATTAACATTGTGCAGTAGGTATTGTAACTGCCTTAATAATAAAAAAAAACACAAAATATAATTCATGCATAATTTCGTCCGCCATTTTCTGCAGTTAGGCATATCACGTCACACATCATTTTACCGAAGTCAGCCCTATGGCATCAGAGAAGTACCGATCGCTAACGTTTGTCAACAAAATGGTGCTTGACTTTTGGGACAAGCTAAGTACACCATATTGTTAACGACATTGAGCATACATTTTTTAATATGTTCGCGAAGAAAACCTTCTGTACGTAGTGTAGGTACACATTAATCAGAGTAATAAATTAACACCATGAATGAACAGAGCGTATTGAGTAGCGTCCTGCGTTCCCACATCATTGCCCAATACAATTAACAATAGAAAACAATAGTTATACTGTTCCTTGTATGTGTCGGCGGCTGAGCCCGCCAGTTTTATTTTAGTCGCAATTACACCTTTAAAGAAATCACATATTTTACTGTTCCAACCTTCTGACGTACGTTTTGTGGACTTAACTTATAAAGTGGACATTACTTATAAAGTGGACAACAACAATAATATACCTGAACACAACGTATATTAATATAATTACGTACATCGGGTTTAAATTAACGTACACGTAGTACTTATTATTATTCTATGGAAATACTTAGTCACATTGAACGATACTCACCTCGTCGCATGGGCCAGGCGGGCACTGCAAGTCGCCGGCGGGTTGCGGCGCGCACTGTAAACCACCGGCGGGTTGAGGCGCGCACTGTAAGCCACCGGCGGGTTGCGGCGCGCACTGTAAGCCACCGGCGGGTTGAGGCGCGCAGGGCGCCGGCTCGACGACCTGACGGAAACGACAGGAATTGTAAGAAAACGACAAAGTACTCGTATGCTACTTGGTCTAACGTTTCGTTAAAAAATGACTGTCTGAAAAATAATATTATTAAATTTAAAGTAACAAAAGCTTACGTTGTTTTGGGGCGGGGTAGGTCCCTCCCGACTCCCCTCTGGCGAAACTTGCACCTACAATCAAATATTAAGATATTTAAATAAATAACGAGGTTGATTGACAATATTTATTTATTTCATGGAAAACAAATAGCACATACCTAATATGCAACAACTAGTAGATGGGGCAGTTTAGATCAAGTACCTTAACAAGCCTTAGACAGTTTTCACAAAAGCACATTAATACAATACATAATAAATAATATAGCATGCAGTAAAACACTATGATAATTGAGAAAGAATTAAGTAATAGTGTTAAGTATGAGAGGCGAGAGAGGACACGAATGAAACCATAGACGGCTGTCAACGCACTGGCGTTTATTCACTGTAAAGCGCGGGCGCAGCCGCGCAACTAACCTACGTATACATGTATGCTCCATATATGACAAATAGTATTACTACATAATATTAGTTTAGTAGTAGTAAAGTTAGTATTTAAGCTGAATGTTTTGAAAACTCACGTTTAAGCCCAAAGAGATGCCTGAGTCACCACTCGGCAGCTCCACGGGCACCGGCGCCAGCGCCTCCACCTGGCGGACACACAGCGCACGTCAGTTATTAACATCAAAGTCACTTGTCGCTTCGGCAACAAATTGGATATGTTCAGTAAAATCTTAGATTAATAAAACCTAGATAGATAGTCAGTGCACGAAAGGGAGCGTTAGGGAGCCGGCACGGCTCACCCGTAAACGTCACATGAACTGTCAAAGTGAAAAATTGGTAAACACGTCCGACGAACTTTAATTAATTAAAACGGTTTGTGCTGTGAAAGGGTGTCTAAAATACATCAGAAAAACGAAAGAAAGTGACCAGTGTTACATTTCATAAGTAAGTACTACAATTCGACGCGTATTTTGCTTGAATTTGGCTTTCAAAAATTAAATACGGGAATGATACCAGTAACAAGAAAATTTATTTCCCAATTGTTCGCCGTACAAATACACTTCCTTTTTTATGAAATCGAGACTTTTAAGTCGATTTATCTTATTGTTATTAGGTAGGTACTTTGAATTTAATAAATAAGTAAATACATGATGCGTTTTGATTTTGTTAATTATATAAATAATTAAAAACGTATTAAAAATTTCCCTACTTTCGGGAAAATCGCCTTCACACTCCCCAACAAAATTGACACTAATGACATAAGATTTTTGCCTCACTCTTGACGAAGCGTTTGTATGAAGACTATCCATCTAGGTTTTATTAATCTAAGGGTAAAATAATATTAAAAGAAACTCACATCGATAACCGAGGAAGAGTCCTCGGAGTCCGAAGCCGTTGACTCTTGGATTTCCATGAGCTGTAGGTATAAAGATAAAAATAAAGTCATTCCATTTTAACGTAAAAAATAATGCACTGAAGGTTTAAAAAGTAAAGACACTCACGTCGTCTGGGGCTCCTTCTACTGCCTCCTGTGACGATACCTCGTTCTTCAGGTGACTCCCTAGAATCAATTATAAAATTGATAAGTGACCAGTAAATAGTTTGGAACAGAAAAATAATGATTAATTGAATAAAATACTTACACCTGTATCGAAGAGTTTCGTTATGAATGGGCTTCCCATCAAGCGGCTTCCTGCAGGTAACGGCTTCGTGGACAACCTTTTTGGTTTTCGTTTGGAAAAAGAAAAAAAATATATAATGAGACCTACTTATGATACAAATACAGGATGGCCAGAAAAGTGACGTACTGCAACTTTTCTTTTATGCCTCGTGTTGAGAGGTATCTGAGAGAGGTATCTGAATCACCCCCATGTAAGGTTCTACGATTTCTCAGTTTTCGAATTACGTTTTTCTAACCCAGGTACAAAAACTACCCAATGGTACAAGTTCTCTTGCGATGTCTATAAAAAGATTGTAAATATGCTAAATTACAAAAAAATCTGGGGTAATTAATTTGTGGGTAGTTAATTTTACAATATTGTGACCGGATTAGTTGCAACAAAAGAAAAATATAAGGTTTATTGGAATTACTGCGAAATGTCTATGGACTGTACATCTAGCATAATATAAACTGCCTCATAACTTTTATGGAAGTTACTAAAAATTGATCTAAAGTTGAGAATTTATGTTAAGTCAGCTATCATTTAAATTTTCTACTTACAAAATCTAAACTGGCAATTTCTTAGTTTCTTAAGAAGCTTTAGAGAATGCTCTAGACTCTAAGCTAAGCCTTCACATTGATAATAAAAAAGTACTCTATTTTTCGCTGAAATCAGCCACCAATAACAGTGAGGTGGAAAATTAAAAAAAAAGAAAATTGATTTTTATCATTTTTAAGATTAATTTGTTAATTGAATCAATATTTAATTAAAGAAAATAATTTGTTAATTGAAAAAATATCAATATTAAAGTGTTTCACATTGCTTTGAGAAATTATGTTAATTGAGTTATCATTTAAATTATCAACTTAAAAATTAAAAATCTAAACGGGCAATTTCTTAGTTCCTAAATATCTTAATGCCAAGTATAAATAAGACATCAAAGGTACTTACTTTATTTTCTGGCACTCTACACTTCTACAGGTATTTAGGTAATAATATGATACCTACTATAATTTAAAGGAAATAAGATAGGTACTTACTGCAGCTCCTTTTGCAGGCGCCTCCGTCGAGACCGTTACCTCTTGGACCTGTAGCAAACATAATGTGTTAGAAAAATATTAAAATACAGTTTCCCTGTAAGAATTTCAGAATTGTAGGAAAGAGAGAACTCACGTTCGAAAGGGATTCCTCCTCGATTGGCAAGACCCCCTCCTTCACGTCCAACTCCGCTTTCAGGAGATTCACTAGAATCAATAAAATCAATAAGTCAGATGTACGTTATTTTGGAACCATAAAATTATTAATAAGATGAATAAGTTACTTACACTTAGCCCGAAGCCTGGCGTTTTGGGAACGAAGTAGACCTAATACTCGTTCCCGTTTCTCCTGAAGCTTCTTGGAGTTGTTGATGAAGGCGACGGCCTCGTCGAAAAGCCGTTTGGTTTTCGTCTGGAAAAAGAACGAAATGTAATGGGAGCTACTCATGACACAAACATATAGATGACCCACGCTGAACTGTCCCGCCAAACTCAATGACAGGGGGGCGCTACCATCGTTCACCTATATGGTTTCCAACATGGCAAAAATCGGAACCAGCGATTCGGTGTTGACGGTGGCGCCCCGCTGTCAATGTCATCGATAGGACAGTTCAGTATTTTGGAACTATAATGAAGTGGCGCGTGTCCAATGAGCTGTGCTTACCGTGGAGCCGAGCGCCTTGGCGAGCCCCCCGCGCAGCTGCCGCAGCTCCTCGCGACGCTCCCGCTCCAACTCCCGGTGGCGCTCCAGCCTTTGTTGCTGAGATGAACATAAAATTATGTTAAGTATTTTACTCGCTACTTAACACTAGAGTACACGCGCGGCCTACTATGGTAGACCAGGGCAACATTTTACGCTGTAACTTTTTAAAAACTTGCCCCAGAGAGCTGGCATTCCAGGAAAGCCTTCTTTACTAAATTTGTTAATAAGCCAGTAAAGCTTGGGTCGCTAGCGTCTGCGCACTTTTCTAAAATCGGCCGTCAAAACTGCGGGTCTACTCAAAAGCCCCAAATCACTAGACAAAAAAAATAATGGAAGACTTGCAACAAATGGATGTACCAGGCAGTAGAAAGTCTGGAAGACTATGACAGATAAAAAAGAAATTGTATTTTTCAGTATTTTTTTTTGTTAACATGGACTTCAGAGTGCAATTTTGGACTAAAAATTTACAATTTTAAATCTGTTTCATGTTTGATCCCAGATACTTAGTTATAAAAACATTTTGATCATAAAATAACTCTAATAAACACTTTTACTTTACTATTTACATAGTAATTTTATTCATAAATTGCTTACAAACTGATTTACAGTGATTTAAATTGGCTTACCATAGTAGGCCGAGCGTGTATTGGTGTAAAAAAGGGGGCGCGTGTAGGTACTGTAGTGTTAACATAATATAATTTTTTCTTACTTCATTGAGAGGAACCCGGTTGTGTCCCCGAGGTCTTCCCCGAACCTTCTCGACCGGAAGACCGTTGGCCTAAAAATGAAATTATTTATTAGTATGTAATTGCTGATTGAGATTTTATTTATTATTTGATTATGTTTTGTATGAATGTGTCTTACTCTAGGGCGTGGGACCTGCTGGTTCCTATCCAGCACCGCCTCCTCGTCACTAGACAGGATTTGGTCCTAAAACAAAAATCATTATTATAATACCACTTTTCTAAGTTCAAAATAATTTAGGAGCATAACACCCGAAATGATAAGCCATCAAAAATCTTGGTTTGAGACCCGTGTTTCCCTATGAAAATTATGATCTTACCTGGCGCTGCTGGGCGCGGTTGTCCCTCGCGAGCCGGGCGGAGCGCCTGCGTCCAAAATCGTTTCCATTCTGGAACAGAAATAAGGCAGTTATTAAACTGTAACACTACACATGAAACCTTATTTCGCCTATAAATTATCACTGTCACAGAAACACTTTCACTTATTTCGCCTGTCTAATTTATAAGAGGAACTATGCGTTTAACCAAATTTAACACAACCGAGATTATTACCATTTCCATGGTTAGTAGGTAAAAGTTTCAATTTCTACTCAAGTAACTCTCGAAGCCAAGTGCTTCCAGTGGACAGCAAAGTGCAACTGAATGCAGTTCTGTGGTGCAAGCGGGTTTTATACCTGCGTCCGCGCAGAGCCGGCACCCCCGTGGCCGCCCAAATCTATTGTTGATTGTTGGGCGGGTTTCAGGCTTCGCAAGGCAGTGGAGTAGCAAAATGGTATTAATTTTTTTGTGTATAATTTATTCTTGTGGTATTTATTATCCCAGACTTTGGGAGGGAAATATGTTTTTCTCCAGTATTACCTACGTTTTGACTCTATGAACAAAATATTTTTAATTTAGGATTACTTTTGCAGTAATTTAATTAAATAGGTTCAGCTTCGTTTAGAAATAGGTACAATTTAATGCAAATAATGATAATGCCTGGTTGTAGTACCTACTGGATATTGATACGGAGTGACATTACAATGCGATAGAGCTCGCGGCCGTCGGGGCCATTTTAGCTCTTTTACAGAACATCGTTCTTCACGTAGCACACTGTGCAACTGAGCTTTTTTCTAGCCTAAATTATTACGGATAGAATATTTATGGGAAAAAACACTAAATTATATTTAGCTCCATACTGTTACCATATTACCAAATACATATTTCTACATATCGTTACATTATATCTATTCAAATACAAATGGTTCATTGCAAGTCACATTACAAATAGTGGTGTTTTAATAAACATACATGTTTAACTAAATTAACACTGTTCAGCTCCTTACTGATTATTATTATTACCATTTCACCAAATATTTCTACGTTTCCTTGTATTAATGTTTTTAAGCACTACAACTTTTAATTCTGATATTATTTGTCATAGCATAATTAGTGATATAGATTATTAAGTAGTTTACCCACTATTAAAAAAACTGTTCAATGAATAGTTTTTAATTAAGTGGGCTATTTAAATATGAGTATAATTTAGTAATGTAATAATTGACTAATGAACGAATGTTTTAAGGACGCTGTTTTGGAGAGAAAAACAATAAATACCGGTCATTGACAAATTATTTTATCAAATATTAATGAGAGTTAGCGTTGATGTAACCCTCAATGTCTATTAGCATCACTATAGTAAGGCTACTATAGCAGGGATGTTATGTATATCCGTAACCATAACCGAAACCGATTTAAAAGTTTCGGATAGTTTCGGATAAAGGTAGAGTCTAAATCTTAATATTTTTTTAATATTTGTTACTTGTCTGGCATCCCCTGGCACCATCCAAATATCCCCGCTTTTTTACCTTTATTATAGGTATCGTCATAGTACATAAACCGGCTATGTGGGTCCGGCAGCGTCTAGCTATTTGAATTTAACAAAAATAAAATTCTAATATCCGTAACCGAAATTATCCGAAACTTTCGGATAATCCGAAATGATTTCATATCCGTAACCGTAACCGAAACTGGAATAATATTATTCTAATATCTGTAACCGTATCCATAACCGAAACTTCATATCCTTAACATCCCTGTACTAAGTATAGTAAATATTATAGTAATTTCAATAAAAGTCAAGTAAATGTTATCATTGGGTAAGTTTTCTTTTACTCATTACAAAAGTCTAATATTTTTAACTCTGTATGAATACTTATTAATTCTGACGCACATACCTAAGTGAATTAAACTTACTTGCAAACAGTTTTTATTTCTGCATCAGAACCTATCCTCTCACGCAGAATAAAGATGGACATCGGCGCCAACAAATCTGGAAAAGATACAATTTCATCAAAAACTAGGTAAGATATCGGAATTACTTCTGCCACTAATGTACTGTAGCACTAAGCGTTTGGTGTAGTGGTTCGAAACGGACTCCTATGCGAGAGGTCGCGGGTTCGAATCCCGCTCATTTGAAATATTTGTGTGCATGAACATATTTGTTTGTATTGACTTGGTGTTTATGTATTTAAAAAAAATATTTATGTATGTTTATAACCGTTGTCTAGTACCCATAGTAGAAGCTTTGCTTAGTTTGGGACTAGAGGCGCAGTGTAAAATAAATAAAATAATATCCTTGGACATTTATACATACATATTTAATATACATAGAAAACACTCAGACCCGTCACAGAATTTAAAATTCATCATTTCAATTTCTGCCCGGCCAGGAATCGAACCCGGGACCTCTCGGCATAGTAGTCCGTTCTGAACCACCACACCAAACGGCTGTCCAATGTCCAAGGATACTTATTATACAAATAGGTACACAACAAAAAATATTACCATCTCCATTGCTATTGAGAGTATCAAGGTAGATTTCTGAAACCAAGTGCATCCACGAATCTGGAAAATAAATAAATTTAATCAATAATTAACTTTTTTTAAAAATAAAACCGACTTCAAATGCGTGAACACAAAAAAAACTAAAAATTAAAAATATTGCGTATAAAAAAGTTC